GTCTCTGTGCTTTGCTAAGCTTGTTCTAAGTAGGTGCTTTAGACCACTGAGCCATCTCTCCAGCCCCAGGACTCTTTTTTAGAGGGCTCTCAAGGCCAGGTGTGGTGCATACACCTGTAATCCTAGTACTTGGAGAGGAGAATTGCCACTAGTTGGAGGCCAGCCTGGGCTACAAAATGAGTTCAGAGCAAGCCTGAACTACATAGAGAGAGCATGCCTCAAAAAAAGGGGCCCTTTTTTTGAGAGTGGAGGTGGGGAGATAGCTCAGCAGCATAAGTGCCTGCCTGGTAAGTCCTGAGTTAGATCCCCAGTACAAAAAGGAGGGGGGGAAGAAGGTGAGCAAGTGACAGTCATTTGATATGTGTTGTAATATTAGCGATTGTGACTAGAACAGAGAAGGCATGTAGAGCCCAGTGCAGCCTGTGGTGGTGGTGTTATAATCTGACCTGGTGGTTGGTGGGTATATTAGCACAGTACTACAAGGATGGGAACATCTTTGAAACTGGGGATCCATCAAAGGGTTTTAAGGAAATGATCACACTCAGGCCTTTATTTGTTTTTATTTTATTTTATTTTTATTTTTTTAATTTTTTAATTTTTTAAAATTTTTTAATTTTTTATTTTTTTACCTTTATTGTTTTTTGAGACAGGGTTTTACTATGTAGTTCAGGATGGCCTTGAACACACAATGATCCTCTGCCTCAGCCTCCTGAGTGCTAGGACGACAGGCGTGTGCCACCAAGCCTAGACTTACACTTAGGTTAGGCCTTTAAAACATCCTTCTGAGTTGGTCAAGGTAGCATATGACTGTGCTCCTAGCACTTTGGCATGTAAAGCAGGATTACAGGTTCAAGTCCAGCTTTATCAAAATAAAATATTAGAAAGGCTAGAAAGGTGGGAGGATGAAAGAAAGGAAGAAAAAATAAAAAGGAAAAAATGGAAACGATAAAGAGGGGAAGAAGGGTTGGAGGGAGGGTTGGAATAATGGGGGAAAAATCAGGTTATATCATGTAACCGACACAAATTCCCTATGATGAATGTGATCATTATATATACCTAAAATGTACCAATAAAAATCCTTTTCTGGGGGGGGGAGTAGGGTGGAGATGTAGCTCAATGGGAAGGCCCTGGGCTTAATCTCCCCAATACAATAAAACAAAACAAAACAAAACAAAACACTCTAGGCATGGCGCACGCAAATAATACCAACATTCACAGGCTGAGGCTTGAGGATCTGTTAGCGTCAAGCTTGTGCTACTTTTACTGAGTTTGAGGCCAACCTGAGTTACACAGTGAGACTCAGTTTCAAAATCAAACGAGAATTAAATGACAACGTGCCCCAACAGCCCGTCGCCCTGAGCCGTGTGCTCTCGTTAACACCAGCACCTTTTCTAAAGCTCAATTCCACCAGGCTGCTGGCAAGAACAAAGACACCCGTTAGCCTGAGACCCAGTCAAATAAGCTCTGCCCCTGGGGGCGTGTCCTGCTCAGGCCCCGCCCCCTGCGTCTGCACGTAGTGCCGTCCTCGCGCTCACCGTTCGGTTTCTGCGGCAGTGGCGGCTGAGGGAGTAGCCGACTGGCGAGCTTACTAGGGTATTTGACCAACTAGTGGCGCGGGCCTGTGGCCGGTGAGTGTCCTGCGTCCTCCCCGGCGTCCTGATGGCTTCTCGGCTCTCGGCGGGCCCAGACCCAGCTTGGACCCTCGGGAGCTAGATTTGTCCGGGCCGCTGCGTCCCCGCGGTACTCTGAGGGGATCCGTCGGTAGGGGCCGACCAGAGGCGCAAGACTGGGGAGAGGGCAGCTGAGCGGGCCGGATCCGGCGTGGAGGTGTCAAGTGAAGGTGAAGCCGGGAATGCTGCTTCCTGAGAGGCGTTTTAGTAGGACCCGGGAGGCCTGAGCGGCTCCTGGGCTCCAGTCTCCGTGGAGCCCAGCCCTCTTCTGCATCTCGAGCGCACCTCCCCGGTGTGGTGATCCCCAGGCCGCAGCTGGTGGAAACCGGCACATCCGCCCACCTGGGCTCCGCGGTAATCTTAAGTTGGCCCCCTGCATCCGAGAGGGAGCCCGGTGTGGCAGCCTTGGTGGCTGTCGACATCGGCAGTTCTTGTCTTTCTCTGTCGTGACTCACTTCTGTGGGAAGTGCCCTTTGGGTCACGGTAGAGGCTTCCGAGTGACCCCTGGTATGCCTTGGTACTGTAGAATGCGGGACTGGGAGGCATCAGGAGCAGGCGCAGCCGGTTAGTCTGCACCAGGAGTTTGCCTTTTGTGTCCTAAGCCTTAGGTGTCCTAATTGCCCTGTAAAAGCTGCCAGGTCCGCCGTGCCCAGTGTTGGCATAGGGCCTATCTGTGTCATGGCATTTAAATTGGTTCTGAAGGACCGGTTGTTGTGGCTTGTGGTTGTTCATTCGTACTGTGTAATGGCATTTTAAAGCAAGGTGGAATGTGATTGAAGAAATACAAGGGGCCGGCGAGATGGCTCAGTGGAATAAGCGCTTCTCTGGCAAGCGCAAGGGCCTGAGTTCAATCCCCAGTTCCGCAAAAAAAAAAAAAAAAAAAAAACCATAATGTATGATGCTTTCTAGTTGAGGAAATCCTTTTGGTCTCAGCTCCTTCCAAAATCTTGTGAGTGGATAGTTTCTCCGCTTGTAAAATGTGGTTACTGAGAGATTCACATGAAGTAACTTGAGCTCCATCTCACAACCAAGAAGACACAGATGATCTTGAACCAGGTAGTCAGTCTAGATTTTGTAGTATTTATTAAATGGAGTTGTAGAGATTGGAAATGGATTATGTTGCGGAAGTGGTCTTCCTGCTCTTAAACTGTCCTATCAACTAGAAGGACATGAATCTACTGGTTTCGTCTTTTTGAATTTTTGGAATGTGATTGTCAACTAGTGTGCATTTTTTTCTTTCTTCTCCCTTAAGTTATAGGCAAACACTGTACCTCTGACCCACATTGCCAACCCTTTTTATTTTGAAACAATCTCCATAAATAGCCTAGACTGGGTTAGATATTGGAATTTTCCTGACTCAGCCTCCACAATAGTTGGAATTATAGACTTATGCCATCACTCTCTGCTCAGTGTGTGTGATACTTATGTGTGTACACATGTGTGTGTGAGTCAGTGTGTGCTGTGAATCTGACTCAAGGCTTCCTGCATAACGAGCACATAACTCTGCCACTGAGTTAAGCCCTCAGCAGTGTGTTTGCTTCAGCCTCCCAGAGTTCTGGGATTATAGACATGCACCACCACACCCAGTTTTAGGTTATTTTCAAGAAACAACACAGGGCCAGCCAGATAGCTCAGCAGACTAAAGAGCCTGCTTAGGCAGAGCGCAGCCATGCCAGCCCCGCCCAAGACCCTGTAGGCTCTGTACTAAAATACATTTTTAAAAAAGAGAGGAAGAACACAGACTCTACATAGATGTGCACACTTGTGATCCCAGCTATTTGGGAGGCTAAAGGCTGTGGTTGTGTACAATTAATGAGATACTGTTTCAAAATTGAAAGGCTAGGAGTTGAAACTGTCCTTCTGATATGATTTGAAACTGTCTCATTGCTATCTGTTTGTCAATAAAACTTTGGAAAAAAAAAAAAAAAAAAAAGAAAGGCTAGGGAAGAGACTGGGGATATGGCCTCTTGGTAGAGTGCTTGCCTAGCATGCACAAAGCTGTGGGTTCAATTCCCAGTACAACTAAAAAAAAACAAAACAAACAAACAAAAAAAACAAAACAAAACAAAAGACAAATTTTGTTTGCAAGTAGTTCACAGTGCACTAGGCAGTTATAAGTTTTCTTGGGAAAATTAATGATAATCACCTTTTAAATTTTTTTGCCATGCTGGAAATCAAACATAGGACTTCATGTGTGCTAGCAGGTGCTTCACTGCTGAGCTGCACTCCCAATTCCGTACTTAGTGAAAATGAAAGTTTTTCAGATATACCACTTAAGTCAGAACCCTCATAAGGATGTCGGAATTGGTGAATGTTGGAATTCACATGTTTATTGAAAGACCTAATCTTGGGCCAGGGAGATGGCTCAGTAGAATAAGCACTTCCCTGGCAAGCGCAAGGGCCTGAGTTCAATCCCCGGTTCTGCCAAACGCCCCCCCAAGAAACAAAAAAACCAAAGGAAAAAAGAAAAGAAAAGAAAAGAAAAGAAAAGAAAAGAAAAGAAAAGACCTAATCTTACTGGGGATATGAAGAAGGAAATCCTGTGATTCCTCCATTGTTTGATTTGATTTCCTCTTTTGCTCTGCTTAGGCCAGTAAGTTGAGATGCTGTTTGAGTCACCAGAGTCTGGAGTATGAGCTGTTCTAGAAATGACAGTGCTAATGATGAAGATTTTTTTTTCCAGGACCAGGGATCAAACTCAGGACCCTGTATTTGCCAGGCAAGCGCTTATTCTACTAAGCTATCTCCCTGGCCCAACAGTGCTAACGAGATGAGATACAGAAAACATGTCGATTGCCTTTAACTCAGCTCTCAACAAGTAGTATGTTGAAAATTTGTAGAACTGGACACCTAGGCCACTTTATTTTTTTTTTAACATTTATTTATTGTGTGTGTGTGTGTGTGTGTGTGTGTGTGGCCAGCTCAGCCCACCAGGGGGCGGGGCTGGCTGGCATATGGTGCTGGGGGATTGAACTGCAGTCCCTGTGCTTTGCCAAGCTTGTTCCAAGTAGGTGCTTCAGACCACTGAGCCATCTCATCAGCCCTTACTTTATTTTTTTAATAGCTGATTTTTTTTTTTTTTTTGGCGGAACCGGGGATTGAACTTAGATCCTTGCATTTGCCAGTCAAGCGCTTATCCTACTGAGCCATCTCCCCAGCCCCATAGCTGATTTTTTTTTTTTTAA